CTGATTTGAGTTCCTCCGGGTATATTCCCAATAGGGGAATTGCTGGGTCATATGGAAGGTCGATTTCTAGTTCTTTCAGAAATCACCACACTGTCTTCCAAAGAGGTTGTATTAGCTCGCATTCTCACCAGCAGTGTAGAAGTTTTCCTTTTTCTCCACATCCTCATCAGCATCTGTTCTTGTTTGTTTTATTAATGATGGCCATTCTTACTGGGGTTAGGTGGTATCTCAGTGTGGTTTTGATTTGCATTTCTCTGATGATGAGTGAGGCTGAGCCCTTTTTCATGTGTCTGTTGGCTGCCTGTATATCTTCTTTTGAAAAGTGTCTATTCACGTCTTTTGCCCACTCTTTAAAGGGGCTGTTTATTTTTTTCCTTTTAGAGTGTTTGAGTTCCTTGTAGATCCTAGATGTTAGGCCTTTGTCAGATATACAGTTGGCAGATATTTTTTCCCATTCTGTGGGCTGTCTCCTTGCTCTCTTGATGGTTTCTTTTGCTTAGCAGAAGCTCATTAATTTGATGAGGTCCCACTTGCCTATCTGATTTCTTAAGGTATTGGCCTTTAGGATTTTGAATAGGAATTGGTATTTTTTAAAACAAAGTTTATTAGCAAGAAAAAGAGAAGAAGGAAAACAGAGGATTCATGGCAGAAAGACCTGCCACAGACAAGTTTTTCAAAGAGGAAAAATTGCCACTGTTCTCAATTGAAAAGAAAATAAAATCTTGACATCAACACCTTCTGCTAGACACAGGCACCATTCACGTTTCCTTCTGTAGCTAAACTTTAAAGGAGTTATCCATACTCTGTCTCCAATTCTTATCTACCCAGTTTCAATTAAACCCACTTCAATAAGACTTGACTTGCTTTCCTTCCACTCTTCTGTAACTGCTGTCTTCAAGGGCACTGAGAATTTCCACGTTGCTCAAACAATCATTAATTCTTGATTCTCATCTAACTTAACCCATGAGTATCATTTAGCACAGTTGGCCCCTCACCCGTCTTTATTATTGATGGCCATTCTTACAGGGGTTAGGTGGTATTTCAATGTGGTTTTGATTTGCATTTCTTCACCTGACCTCCAGCATGCCCTGATTGTCTGGTTCCCTCCCATCTTTTGTTTTTTTTTTTTTTTTACTTCTCAGTTTCCTTTCCTGGTTCGTTTTCTTCTCTCTTACCTTTTCATGTTTGGTGTCCAGAGTTTAGTTTTTGCTACCTGCTCGTCTCAATCTACACTCACTTCTTAGGTGATCTCATGTATTCTCATGGCTTGACATAACATCTACATGCCCACAACTCTGAAATAAATATTTCCAACCTAGATCTCTTTCCTGAGCATCAGATGGACATGTATCATTGCTTCCACTTAGATGATATGCCCTCCGTTTACTTTCTGTCTTTGTTTCTTAATATTGTTTATGCGCCTCCAGCCATCTTGGCCCCCTTGCTTCCCTGGAACATTCTAGCCTCAGAACTTTGGACTGAGTGATTTCCTGACTGAGAGGACATTCCCCCAGATATCCTCTTGGCTAGCACCCACAGCTCCTTCACGCCTCTCTCCAAGTGTCATTCCCATTTACTGTCACAAACCAGTCCTCTCTCTGGATTTCCAAATTCTAATTATCTCAGTCTATTAGCCACCAGAATTTAATTACTTTGAAAATTATATAGGTTATCTATTAGGGTGGCTCACACCTGCGATCCCAGCACTTTGGGAGGCCAAGGCAGGAGGATGTCTTGACCGCAGGAATTCAAGACCAGCCTGGGCAACACAGCGAAATCTTGCCTCCTCAGAAAATTAACTGGATGTTGTGGTGCTCACCTGTAGTCTCAGCTATGCAGGTTGCTGAGTTGGAAGGATTACCTGGACCCTGGAGGTCGAGGTTGTCGTGAGCTGTGATCGTCGTGATTGTGCCACTGTACTCCAGCCTGGGTGACAGAGTGAGATACTGACCCCCTCAAAATATACTAATTTGCCTATTAGTATGTTTCTTTGTTTTGTTTGTCTTATTGCTAGAATGTAAGCTCCACGAGGCAAGGGGAATCTTTGGTTTGTTCATTGACGTTTGCCCCGAGTCAAGGATATTGCTGGGCGCATAACAACATTCAATCAATATTTATTTTAATAAATTGTTGCCAAGGGAACGAAAGACATTAATTGAAAATTTTGATTCTTTTTTAGATGCAACACAGTTTTGGAATGAACATTGCCAGTGCTACTGTGGCACTAGTTGGGAGCGTTTTTCTCTCGATAAATTTAGCAGTTTATGTCCAGTCAGTCAAGCTCTGTCACTCTTCACAGGCACCGGACTTATGCATTTACATGGGCTCCTCATCAAATGTATGTTTCAAAAACTATGGCTAACTGTAAAGATTACAAACAATCCAAAATGTACAGAAAAATCATATATAAGGTGCCATGTTGCCTTGATTTGAATCTTGGGTCTGCCACCTATCAGTTCTGTAATGAAGGGCAGGTTAGACAAACTTTCTGTGTCTTAATTTTCTCATCTTTGAAATGAGAATAACCATAGTACCTGTTTTATAGGGCTGATGTGAGAATTAAATAAGTAAATATATGATAATTAAGACAGAGCAACTAAATCAGGGCTTAGCATATCATTTTATATGATTGCTAATATGACTACTAGTACTGATATTACTATTATGCTCCCCAAAGGGTTTTTAAAACAATTATTTTACATCTCCTTGTTTACTAAAACAAACATGAAAGATTTATACCTTTCTCTGTGATCTGGAATGTTCAAATGATGTCTTGAAATTTGAATGGCGCCGGGCTTGGTGGCTCAGCCTGTAATCCCGTGATTTTGGGAGGCTGAGGTGAGTGGATTGCCTGAGCCCACGGGTTCGAGACCCGCCTGGGCAGCAAGACCTCATCTCTACAATAAATCAAAAAATCAGCCGGGCGTGGTAGCGCGCGCCTGTAATTCCGGCTACTTGGAAGGCTGAAGCAGAAGGATCGCTGGAGCCCAGCAGGTCGAGGCTATGGTGGCCGGGAGCGGCCACTGCACTCCAGTCTGGGCGACAGAGTAAGACTCCAACTCAAAAAAAAAAAAAAAAAGAAAGAAATTTGAATGGCTTCACTTTTAAACTTATTTGAATATGGAGTTTGAAAGGGGAGTTTTTTCTAGCCTTACCAAATTATTTTTTGTTTGTGTTTAGACATTCTACTTCTTCTGAGGTCCACTTAGAAGCTAATGTTTTCCTTTTGAATTGTCCATTTTACCCTGATGGTCTGTGATCTATCTATGAACTATTATTTACTGACATTCTCAGTCCTGTTTTCTGACAGTATTCATGGAAGTTTACGTTCTCACTTCTTAATTCTATTTTTAATTATCTAAGTTTATATTTATCTGGGACTGGCTTTTCTGAAGATTTTCCTCCTGAGACATTTTGTATTTGTTTCTTCTGGGTGTTTTAGTAGTAACAGTAGGATCATAAGCCTAGCAACAATTTTATTTTGTGTTTATATCAGGTTCGTGTTTTAATTTCTAGGGATACTGCAAATGCCTAACCCCCTAGGAAGTACAGTTAATGAAGTCATTTTTGTCCATTTTCCTAAACTGCCTACAAATCACCTTAATTTACTGCAATTCAAATTGGTAAATGTTAGTAATGGTGTCAGAATTTTCTACCTACAATTCCTTCCCCCACATGACTACTTCACTTGGGTTGACATAGAAATAATACACCTCTCTCTCTTCAGGGACCACGTTTTTATGCTGTTAGATTGATGTTGTATCCTTTCTACAGTGTTACGTGTGTCGTCGTCTTAAATCTAATTTGTTCCATGTTACGGGAGGGAGATGTTGTAATCTGGTTTCCTGCTGACATTTTTTTCCTCTGGATATTTCTTTCTTTCTTTCTTTCTTTTTTTTTGTGTTGGAGTCTCACTCTTTGGCCCAGACTGGAGTGCAGTGGCTGCTCCCAGCCACCGCAGCCTCGACCTGCTGGGCTCTGGAGATCCTTCCGCCTCAGCCTTCCAAGTAGCCAGAATTACAGGTGTGCGCTACCACGCCCGGCTATTTTTTTGATATTGTTGTAGAGATGAGGTCTTGCCTGCCTAGGTGGGTCTCAAACACGCGGGCTCAGGCAATCCACTCACCTCAGCCTCCCAAAGGCGTGGGATTACAGGCTGAGCCACCGAACCCGGCTTGGATATTTCTATTAGGTTTGACATGAAGTGTCCTATCCCCTAGGGCCTAGTATCTCTGATGCTTATCCTCACCTTGCTGGAATTGTGCATAACTGTCTCCATGTCAGCTATGTGGTGCAATGCCAACTGCTGTGATTCCAGAGAGGTGGGTTTGTTTAAATGACTAATAATCCATATGGTCTGCAAACCTCCCTCTGGGTTTGAAGTTGTTTCTGACACTTCCTGTTCGTGGAGTTAGACAGTATGAACATTAGAGATGAAGTGAAGGCTAAAAAAATTTGAATGTGAAAATGCAAGAAGAAAGGGTGCAATTAATATATGAAAGCATACATTTTGTGTACAACTGGAATTAAGTTTAATTTTTTTCATAATCTGTGACTGTCTGGCTGTATGGCTCAGGAAAAGCCAAGAATTTTTCCTACATTTTAGGTATCTTAACTATACAATAAAAGTAATGTTTTCATTCTCTTCTGATGTTTGTTGTAAGGACTATGCACATAATCTTTATGCAGTTTGGCAGAGTATTAATCAGGGAATGAATGTTATTGTTGATGATCTGTTGAAAATAGGGAGGGATGGGAAGAGAAAGAGGTGATGCTTCTGTTCTTAGAGATGAATGTTGTTTTATTTTCCAGGCAATTTCCTCACATCCCAGTTCTGTGGAATCAGGAATACCTCCTGATAAAAGTAATTCTGGGAGAATGAATATTCAACCTTAAATCTCCAATGAGCTTCACCCAGGAACTCAGGAGAACATAAGCCTGTGAAAATTAATCTTTTCATCATGGCACCAGTCCTAAGAACCTTGGACATTTGACTCAATCCTTTCTAGCTGTAAATTCCATCGGTGTGTTCTGGGTGTGGAAGTACAAATATATTTCTTTAGGCATTCTTGGATTTGAACTTCTATGATCACTAGTCCAAAGTTGTTTCCAGAACTTAGTTCTCTTTCTTCCTCCCCACCTATTCCATTGTTTTATAAGATTTAAGGAAAGAAAGTAGTATAAACCCTGTTTTATGTATTCTCTCTAAAATCCAACTACCAACCACTTAGTGGGAAGGAGAATAAGATCTTTTTTTCATTACAGAAAAATGCTTCTCCACTTTAGCTAACAACAGCATTATAAAACTGTCAAAAAATCATCATCATAATTAAGACAAATTCGCACTGTACTTGAGGTGGGAGAATTAAGCCTTTGAGATTTTATTTCAGTGAGCTGCTGGAATTTACACATGCCTGTATATAAATAATGGTTTAGGCTGGTGACTTTGAGAGCGGGATCAACATTGGTTTTTCAAAGGACCATGAGAAACTACAAAGCAGAGAAGTAACGAACAAGGGCTTTAGAATATGACATGTCAGGGTTCAAATTCTGACACTGTCATTTATTATCTGTCTGACCTTGTCCAAGTTACTCTGACCTGTATTTTGCTCATCTGTAAAATAGATATAATATCAACTGCATTCTTAATTGCTATGAGGGTCAAATGAAAATAAGGAAAATGTGAAGCAGCACCACAACTACATGATACCACAATGTCACTATTGTTGTTGCTATTGTCTTCCTGCTGGGGTTAAAGTTGAGATGAGTTCATAGTCAGATGAACAGGAAAAATATGGTGGAAACCCTCATGCCTTCATTGTGGCTCTTGCTATAACCTCCAACAACTTCAGTGGTCATCATCTCAAGATGGCAATTTGGTACTGAAACTTTTCCCAGTTCCTAATTTATAAATCCGCGAAAGCATCTTTCTTTCTTTTTAAAATTTTTTTTGAGTCAGGGGACTCTCTGTTGTCTCACCTGGAGGTCAGTGGAACAATCACAGCTCACCACAGCTTCAAACTCCTAAGTAAACTTTCTTCCTCAAATTTATGAGTAGGTGGGACTACAAGTGCATCCCTTCACACCCAACTCTAAAAAATGTTTTAGAGAGAGATTTCGCTTTGTTGCCCAGGCTTGTACACTTATATTTCTGATTTGTAAATTTTGTTTATCTTGATACTGAATTAAGTTGTCCACAATGTCCATAGATTTATACCATAAGTGACTCTTTGCTCTTTGTCATATGTGAAAGGATTCTTCTACATTCTTCTCTACTAATTCTTGCCTACTTCTGTAATATATAGTCATTTGGTTTTTTTAAAAATCTGTTACCAATGATTTAGGGAGTACCTAAATCATGTGCTGTGTACCTAGTGTCATGTGCTGTGTTAAGAGTTTGGCATACAATAGAGAATGATTTGTAGTCTCTTCTCTCAAGTTGGTCATTGTGGGAAATATAGACCCACAGAAACATAGAAGGACATGATAGGAAGATTATGGGAATTTTAGGAAGCACACAGGAAGAACTTCTAACTCAGGTTAGGGGACAGACATGTCAGTGATAATTTTTTGGAAGACTTAAACTGAGACCTTAAAGATGGCTGGGAGTTAGCATGGTGGAAGGGGAAAGAAAGAAGATACATTAAAAAAGCCTCTAAGTAGGGGACTTCTGGGAAGATGGCAATGGAGCCAGTCAGACTATGCAAGTCCCAGTGTGAGTGAGTGAGCGTATGGAAAATTTTGTGTACGCGTCTGTGGCTGACTGAGTGGGAACTTGGGAGCAAGGGGCCAGGGCTCTCCTGGTGAAGTGGCTAGTGCCACAACTGCTTTGCTTGGACCCAGTACTTCCTGGGGCACAGAAGCTGAGAGCTATTAAAAAAATCAGCAAAGTCCTTCCTGGAAAGAAGCTGGTGGGAGTACTCTGCCTCACCACTGCAGTTACTGGCTGAACTCCGACAGCAAGGGATGAGGAGGGATCGCAACAAGGGAGCCCAGAGGTAGAACCCCACTGGAGAAGATGAAATAGGCACCCTGCCACCACCTTGAAAACTGGGCAGAAAAGTGCTCTGGCTTTCTCACCACGGAGAGACAGACCTGATCTTTGTAACCAGTGGACTAACTAGTCAGGGGATGATTGTGACTCAGAAGGAATACCCTGAAAGTATAAACTCAGGAGGGACAGGATGTGTGTTGAGTCTCAGGCAACCCACCCCCTACCCTGGTTCAGCTGCAGGACAAAGGGTGTAACCAGAATAGGACGAGGAAGACCTCAGAAGAGATCAGTGGTGAATCCAGGGCTGACCCAACTCTCTCCTCTCAGCAATCCTCTGAATGTCACACCCACGCGACTGGGGCATGACTTAGAGGGACAAACCCAGGTGGAGCCTGGATGTCAGGCATGCTAGGAAAACTACTCCAGGATAACCCTGGCTGGGGTGCCTCCTCACCAGTACCTGGGGAAGAGACAATCCCATACCTCCTCACCGAAGGGGATCCCCGGTGTCAATATATGAGAGTGGGAGGGGAAGACCGAAGCTGTACCCATCCCCTCTGCCTCTTCCTCCTTCCCTGCACAGACACTGGGGAGATTGTGAATAAGGCTTCAGCTCTGTAGGAGACAGTAGAGGGGCTTACCTGTGAGCAGCTGAAAGGAATAATTACAGAACCTGCCACAAGAGGGCAGGTTATTTTTTGGTTTTTTTTCCTGTTTTTTTATTTTTTATTTTTTTCTTCTTTTTCTTTGTGCATAAATGTGTATGTGAGGATTCTATCCATAGTCCTCCCACCTTTTTTTATTTCTTCTTTTGTTTTTTGTTTTCTGTTTATGTGTGTACACAAATGACTGAGTGTTTATTCAATTTTTTTGTTTTTTTTGTTCTCTTTAGTTTAATGCATGTCTGAGGATTTGATTTCAATTTCTTTCTTTTCTCTTTTTTCCTTCTCCTTTCATTTTGCATTGGACGTGTGTGTGTGTGTGTGTGTGTGTGTGTGTGTGTGAGTGTGTAAGAAGTTTGGGTTTGTTGTTTCTTTGTAAATACCTTTCTTTTTCTCTCTTCTCTTTTTTTCTTCTATTATTTTGTGTTGGGTGTGTGTATGTGTGTGTGCGTGTGCGTGTGCATGTGCGTGTGCGTGTGTGTGTGTGTGTGTGTGTGTGTGTGTGTGTGTGTGTGTTCAGGTCTCCTGTTTTATCTTTTTTGTTTGTTTGTTTTGCTTTGTTTTTTTTCCAAGTTGTTTTGGTTTTTGTTTGTTTGTGTGTGGGTGGCTGTTTAATTGTTTTTTGCTTTGTTTTCTGTTTTTCTGTGTTTTAAAAAAAATTTTGTCTGTCTTATTTTATTCTACTTTTATCTGTTCTCCTCATTGCTGCTATTATACCTTGGATATAGGGGGTACACACATGTACCCATTGCATCATCAAATAGAGTGGGAGTAGGGAGTGGGTCTCAGGAAACCCATAGCACAATCAGTGAACATTGTGATTTGTAAGTAGTTTCCGAATCCTACCTAACCATCCTACGTCTTATTCAACTCTTAAAACTACAAGAGACAGAAAAGTTTCCCACCTACAGCCTTGTTTCAAAATAGGACAAATTCAGAGCACTGCTCAGGGAAGAATAGAGGGCTGAGCAAACATCAGAAGTGAAAGCCTCTCCCACTGCTACTGAATAATCGAACTAAAGAGAAAAGAAAGAGATTGTTCACAAATGAGGAGAAAAAAAAAAGCAATGAAAGAACACAGGTAATTTCTAGTGTAACAAAGAGAAATGCCTGAAAAAATCAGACCTTAGAATCCAAACAATGGAAGTCACCAAAACCAATGACTAGCCCCAGAACACAACAGGGATTAGAGAATGAATGGAAAGAGTGACTAAGACTCAAGAAAGACAAGATGCAACACCAAAAGAACTTGTAACAGAGATTTTGGCCATAAAAAATTTCATCCAGAAAATAAGTAACAAGACGACAGACATGGAAAGCAGAATTAATCAAGCAGAAAAAAAATCTTAGAACTTGAAGACCAAAACATGGAATTAACCTGATCTGTTGAAAACAAAGAAGGAAGCCGGGCTCAGTGGCTCAGCCTGTAATCCTGTGCCTTTGGGAGGCTGAGGTGAGTGGATTGCCTGAGCCCGCAAGTTTGAGACCCACCTGGGCAGCGAGACCGCATCTCTACAATAAATCAAAAATCAGCAGGGCATGGTAGTGCGTGCCTGTAATTCCGGCTACTCGGAAGGCTGAGGTGGAAGGATCGCCAGAGCCCAGTGGGTCAAGGCTGAGGTGGCCAGGAGTGGCCACTGCACTCCAGTCTGGGTGATGGAGTGAAACTCCAACTCAAAATAAATAAATTAATTAATTAAATAAATAAACATAGAAAGAAAACTCATAAAGAAAGAACAAAACCTTCAAAAGATGTGAGATTATATCAAGAGGCTGAACCTATGCCTGACTGGTATTCCAAAAGAGGAAAGGGAAATAGAGAATGTTGGGAGCCAGCCGTGGAGGCCTGCCTGAGCATTAGGGATCCAGGCAGGCTGCGGACCCTGAGACCACCAGGCTGGTTCAGGAGCTGAAGGCCCATTCCCTCCTCCTTTCCCTGTTGTTCAGCATTACCCACTGGTAGGGATTTTAATGATCTAAGCATGAAGTTCTGAGAATATGACAGGCATGGCTGACTCTAGGGATCCATTGTTCCCGCTTCTCACAGACTGCGGTTTCGGCTTTAAACTTAACACAGTTCAAACTCAGATCACATTTGGGAGCCTTATACATGATACAAGCTTCTTTATAAGATTTAAAGATATATTTGTAGAATTAGTATATACATTTAGAGAGCTGTTTCCAGCATGAGATGGTTATCTAGGGTTACCAGAAGTGGCCCAGCATGAACTTTGGGCTGG